TTCCCGACTACTCCCTTCACAACAATCTCCTCTACATCGATACCAAAGGCACTCGCCGACTTTGCATCCCTGACGCACGAGGCCTCCGTACTCAGCTGTTGGCCAAGCACCACGACGCCAAGACTGCAGGACATCTCGGTTTCCAGAAGACCTTCGACACCATGTCCCGCTACTTCTACTGGCCTTCCCTACTCGCCGACGTTAAGGCATACATTCGCTCATGCCACACGTGTCAAGCTGTCAACCCCTCGAACCGGGCCAAACCCGACAAGCTCCAATCATTGCCCATCCCAACTCACCGGTGGCAGTCCATCTTCATGGACTTCGTGTGCGGCCTCCCCAAGACCAACCGCGGGCATGATTGCATTTACGTCATTGTCTGCCGCTTGACCAAACGTGCCCACTTCATCCCTTGCACGACCTCGCACAGTGCCAAAGACGTCGCCACACTCTTCTTCGACCATGTCGCTTGCCATCACGGCCTCCCCGAGAACATCATCAGTGACCGTGATCCTCGCTTCCTCTCACAATTCTGGAAACACCTATTCACGACGTACGGAACCACGCTCAAGTATAGCACTGCACTCCACCCACAGACCGATGGACAAACAGAGAAGATGAACGATACACTCCAAAGAATCCTACGGAAGTATTGTCATCCACACCAACACGATTGCGATCAGTTGCTCACAGCCGCCGAAATTGCCTACAACAATGTTGTCTTCCCCTCCACTGGCATGTCCCCTTTCTACCTCGACCTTGGCTACCATCCGCGCTTGCCCTCTGATTTCTTGCTTCCCTCGCAGCTCACTCCCTCCACCCCTTGCCCCTCTCTCAATGAATGGATAGGAACAATGAACAGACTCCTCAGAGAAGCAACCGAAGCCCTTGAAAGAACACAAGAACAACAAGCCAACAAGACTAACAAACACAGACGTGACGTGTCATTCAAAGTAGGGGACAAAGTCTGGCTTTCTGCCAAACGCTTTGAACCCCAACAAGGCTTGTCCAAGAAACTCTCGAACAAGTGGCTTGGTCCCTTCCCCATCATTGAAACAAACCTCCCCCATCAACTACAAACTCCAACTCCCCCCTGACATGAGTTGTGTCCACCCAGTCTTCCATGGCGAGTACCTAAAAGAATACCATGAATCCCCGCTCCAGTTCGCCGACCGCCCATATCCTAAACCTCCACCAATCATGCTACCCACAGGCCCTGAATTCGTTGTCGAAACCATCATCGGYCGACGAWCCACTCAGGTGTCTSATCATCCGGAACCAATCACTRAATACAAAGTCAAATGGACCGGATACCCCGACGAAGAATCTACATGGGAACCTCTCTCTAATCTTAAGAACGCCATGAAACTTGTCCGCGCCTATGATCGTGCTAATCCTACGTCCTAGATACCTATATCACTATGGCATAAACCCCCGCAAAAAA